AACTGGGACCTCCAAGATCAATGAGGAAAGAGCCTGGGGAGACACACTGGATGAACCTGAGGAGGCCTTGAGCACCAAGGAGATCCTGGACTACATGTACATCAAAGATCCTTGGATTGTTCTCCTTGTGCTGTTTCAGCTTCCCCAAGGATGGGGTCAAGACCGGGGGGGGGGTTGAGTTAGTCTCCTGCCAGTCACGCCCACATCCAGCTGCACACTGGAGACTTCACCTTTATGAAAAAGTAGGCATGTTCTCTCAGAGCCATAAGTAGAGCAGGACACTCAGGGCTTTGACTAAGAGTGCTAAAATGTGGGGAGCAGGAATGGAAATTGTGAGTGGGGAGAAACACAAAAGAGGTACTTTCTTTCATTTTTGAAATCCTTCATGACTTTACGATAGAGAGCCTCTGAAATATGATAGATTTCCAGGGTAACAAAACTATTCTACAGTATTTCATACTGCACATGGATGATGATGCTGACTAGGATGTGATATGTTGTAAAGTCCCTGATGCAAAGATCTAATGATGATTTTTATTTCTCTGACTTTGCTATTGTGTTGCCTTCCTTTGGAGTACATTATTGTATGTTTCTTTGACTGTGATTTTTTTTGGATAAGGTTTGGAGGTTGTGTAGGGTTTAACTTGGTCCAGTGTCAGAGACACAAATGAGTAAAACTGAAATGAAAATACGTATACCAAAATAAAATTAAAATAAAAATCTGCCCCTTTGGGGTTTACAGAAAGACCATGTACCTGAAAGAACCTGAAAACAAGGAAACCAAACGTTTTTCCCTGTATATCCCTAATGGAAATGCAAACGTTGGTGTTGGAAGGATGTGAATTAACCCCTTAGAGTTTTCTGCCCTAAGACTGTGAAGCCATCTTCCTAAACAGATGTACCACCTCCTGTTGCTCCCCTTGAAGGAAAGACAAAAGAGGAGGGCTCAGTGTGGAGCCAATGTGGCCATCACAAACTCAAATCAAGACATTTTTCCCTGTTCCTCTGTCCTCTCTCTGTGGATGCCAATCTCATATTTTCCAAGATTAGCCAAAAGGGCAGTAAACGAAGCCCTGGACTTTGAAGTCATCGTTACAGTTCTGCCTGCTGTGTCACTGTTTGTAATACCATGCCCAACTACCTATGTGTACATATGCAGGCACAATACAACATCATATTTGAAAACAATCACTAAACATTAATTTAGAAATTTGGGCATGTGTGAAGAAGAGACTGATTACAAGAATCACTTTGTTTGATACGTACATCTACATGTTCTGTTACATCTGAAAATGACCCTTGTGTATTTGGCCAGAATCTTTCCACCTGGTGACATATATCGAAGAGTGAAAATCACTACTGTGACTTGTCTGTAAATGAGGGTTTAAGCACACAAACCATTTGAATCATTTATTCTTCCTTCTTTTTCATATCAATATATTTGTACATGCAGCCACATGATACAGTGGTGCCCCGCACAGCGACATTAATCTGTTCCAGGATTAACGTCGCTATCCGGATTCGTCGCTATGCGGGGGGGAACCCCATAGGAACGCATTAAACTCCGTTTAATGCATTCCTATTGGGGAAAAACTCACCGGTAAGCAAAGATTCCCCCATCCAGCCGCCATTTTCGCTGCCCGGTAAGCGAGGGCAGGGCGCGAAAACGCTGCGGGCGGCCATTTTGCTGATCCAGCAGCCATTTTGGAACCGCCGATCAGCTGTTTTCTAAACATCACAAGATCACGTCGCTATGCAGATTCATCGTTAAACGGTGCACTTGTTAAGCAAGGCCTATTCACATTGCTGTCAGTTCAATCGGTACATTTCTTTCTATTTGTAGGCTACATGCACATCTCATATGAATTGATTCATTTTCTATCCTGTTTCTGGGTCCCCAATGCCCTAAAAATTTCTTTTAAAAAATTCTAAGTACATATTACTAAAGCAGATATACATACCATTTTCCTGACATTTCCTGCTCTTAGTTGATGCACCACCTGGTGGGATATATCACTAGATACGTAAATGTAGGACGGCATTAAATAGGACTTACATTGTTATTGAAAAGCTAGAAGAAAAAACTATAAATCACACAAAAGTGGGGACAGTGGGTCCAATAGAGAAGACATTGGCTAACTGAAAAAAGTAAGTGATTTATCACTAAGATTTTTTAAAAAAAAAAATTAAAGGGTTTAAGTGTGGTGGTCATGCAGAGGCCGTGGCACCCAAACACTACCCAGCTGCAAAGTAAATAAATTCATGTTTACATACACTGAAATGATGGATCATTTTTCAAAGGCCAAGCATGGTGAGGGAAAAAATAACAATGGGCTGGCCAAATAAATCAATGTTACCTGTGCATCATGTGAATGGAAATTTATAAAACAAATTAAATTATGGCAGAATCTATATAATTGAGGTTCTTTGGGCACATGTGACTGCACCCTAAGACACTGGCAATTATATTTCTTACTGCTCTCCAAATCATGACTGATATGCAACATAATTTCTTAATTTGTGGCAATTTACTGCAGCAATTTACACCATTGGATTTAATGCTTGCAGGTATAAAAAATGGATTCTAGCCAATACGTAGTGCTTCTTTGAGAAAGTGTGTGTTTGGGTATGCTCTTGTGTTAGCAGAAACACTGAAAAGCTTAAGAAGAAACGGAGGGTGATCAGCAACATGCAAACAGAGTTTACTGCCTTTCAGAGTTTCCAGACAGACAAATGGCAGAGACAAAAGATAAGTTGTGGTGTGGAGGTTGAAGTGAGAGAAAGGAAGGATGAGTGGAGGGGAAGAAATATGAAGTACTGCAGTAACATCCTTTGTACCTGGTTTAAATAGGAATGGTTGACAGGAGATAGAAGAAAAGTTGGTATAAATGTCATCCTAAGTTTGTCCAATGGGAAAATGAAATTCATTGACTTAATCTAAATGGCAGATACAATGGATAAGCAACTACAATTCAGCTGTAATGAATTGCGCATTTATTTTGTGCTCAAGGAGAAGATGTGAAATATAGTCATAAATTATATCACTGTATTATGTGGCATAATTAGCTAATATGTCAACAAATTAAATAGATCCAGATCCACATCAATGTTAGAATTAATTTCAGGTTTAGAATTTTTGAGGCTCAGTAAATAAATGATGCTACCTCTTCACATCCCCATGCCTTTTTAAAACTACAGCAATTTTTCGGAAAAATATTCCAGGATTGCTGAATGGTTAAATATTTTTGATTTACACAATGAATGTGTGCCATCAGAATTCAAAGATTTGCTTCTCTATAAGGACCTTAAGAGCCAGTGTGATAGGATAGTTGGTGGGCTGTATGACAATTCAGAAGATTCAAACCCCAACATATTCACAGAATTAATGGAGGATCTTTGACCAGTCATATTCTCTCTCACCTGTCTCACCAGCTTGCTATAAGAAATAATCTGGGGGTTGTGGTTGGGGGAGGGGTCATCTACACTGTCTTGTTCTCAATAGAGAAAAGCTGGGACAGAAAGGTAACAAATAGTGTATAATAAGCAAAATTTTACTCTGTGTGTGTGCCTGACTGGGATAGAAAGCCTAACTGGAATTACACTACATAATCCGCCCAGAAAAACTGAATGCAAAAACTGAATACATACATACATACATACATACATACATACATACATACATACATACATACATACATACATACATACATACATACATACATACATACATACATACATACATACATACATACATACATACATCTTAATCAAATGGCATTGTGAATATTCTGTCTCCCTTCTGATGATGAAGAGATATAATGCTTCTGAACATGCTCCATTTACCTGCAATGGCTAAGAAATGCAAGTTGTACAGAAATGCAACAGTCTCTTCCCCCCACCCAGCTCAGCTTAAGAGCGCCTCTTCTTTAAGCAGCTTTTGGCAGGATTCCAACAAGCAGCAGGAAATTCTGTCTTAAGTATAATATTCCCTTCCCTTGAGAGAAAGGTTTATAGGTTGCATGCACTTCCTGCACAACCTTAAGTAATCCCCTGGGTATCCTAATCTTCCTGCTGCCAAATTCTATATGTTTTATACAGACTGCTTTTTATTAGCTATTGCTAGTTGCAAGAGAAGATGCTCTGTATCAGGACAGCTGCAGGAAAAGGTGAGGAAAAGTGTTCCTTTCCAGTAAGGAGAGACCACATGACGTAAGACTGTGCATTGCTGCTCTACAAGAGCCACCATGGATACAACAGGGATTGGTTGAGAAGTCTTTGAAAAGGAGAAGGGAGCTGAGCAGTTGAGAAGAAATACATTTCCTGTCTCTCCTAGATAATTCTATTGATTTCTATGTCCCATTTGTTTTAACTGGAATTACTCCCAAGTAAGTCGACAAAGATTTCAGAAGTACTTCCCAATCTTATTGAGATTTATTGGACAGACGCTGTGCATTTCTGTAATGTCTGCTCAAAAGTAAGCCCTAGTGAGGTCAGAGGCTCTTAATGCACATAGATAGCATTCTGCTAGTTCAACGAGTCTTAATGGCCAAATAAATCACGGAATATAAAATTCCAATCGGACTTGCTCCCAAATAATTTTGGAAACTTTCGCTGATGGGTTAAAAGAGCTTTCTTTGGAACGATGAACTAAAAATAAAATTAATTAATTAAAACCATTTAAAAGTAAAAAGTGAAATATTAAGCAGATGTTTTGCAACGTAGTCTTTAGCGGACGTGAGTAATCGTCCGTGCCCTCCGTCTGCCGTTACTTCAGCTCTGTTATTATACGTTGTTTATCTATCCTGGGCTGGCATGTACTGTAGTAAGATCTCCTCAACCTAAAGCTGGATTTGTGGGATTCCATCGTAGGCCGCTTCTGCGGTTCCCATGACAACACACACCCCCTGCGCACCAACTCCTCCCACCACTTTCCATTCATGTTCGAATAGCGGCCTCCCCTCCCCTCCCCCGGCACGTGACTACGGCGGCTCTTTTGTCTTCCCATCGGGGCTTCGGCGGGACGCTTCCGGATGGGTGTGGGGCCGGTTGTCGTCCTACCCTGAGGCGGCGGCGGCGAAGAAGAAGAAGAAGGCGGCTGGCTCGTGAGGGGCGGGGGAGAGGAGAGGCGGAGAGGACAGGAAGGCGGAGGCTCCTACCAACATGGCGGCGCGCAGAGCGGGTGGCGGCAACGGTACCTCTAGTAGCGGGAGCAACGCCTGAACCTGAGCAGAGAAGGACGCCATGGAAAGCGAAGAGGAGCAGCATATGACCACGCTGCTGTGCATGGGCTTCTCGGATGCGGCCGCCATCCGCAGGGCGCTCCGCCTGGCCAAGAATGACATTAACGAAGCCGTGGCGCTGCTCACCAACGAGCGGCCCGGCCTCCACAACGAGCCTATGGACAGCGGCGGCGGCGGCGGCGGGGGACAGGGAGGCGGCGGCAGCACCACCGGCAGTAGTGGTGGTGGTGGTGGTGGACCGGGAGGGCCCCAGCCAAGCGGCGGCTCTCGGGGCGGAGGAGACGTGGACGGCACCGGCGGAGGCGGCACCGGCGGGGGGAGCAGTACCGGCACCGGCTTTGACCCGCCCCCTGCTTACCATGAGGTGGTGGAGAACGAGGTAACCGCCGCAGGGCGGAGGAGGGAGGACGGGGCGAGGGAAAGGAAGCGGGGGCTGCCCTGCGGGAGCCCCTTCGGCGCCGAGGGGGGCCCGGATCCCCGCCTGGGTAGATGGCGTTTGTCCGTCCTGCTTTTTTGCTCGTAGTTTTCTTGTCTCCGATTCTCATAGAGGTGGAGGATTTAGGAACGAGGCGCCCGTAGGAATTGCCATGAAAAATCCCTCCTTCGTCCCTTTCGGAGGACGAAGAGCTGGGTTTTCCCACTCCTGCAGCTCGCGGTTTCCACGGGTGAATTGCGGAGCTGAGGGCGAACGAGGGAGGCCCTTTCCAAACTGGAGCGCTTTTGTCAATCCCGTGGTCTTGAGTTTCCGACCCAAGTGGGCAGGTTTTCCTGATTTGTCTTTTGTAAACTGTCCGATGTTTCCCCTGCACTGGGTCGCTAGTCTCTCCTCTGAGTGTTCTGCTTGGAAGAAGAAAGTGGTCTTCAGCCTCACTATTGTGTCTTGGTTGGGCTGTGGTGGTGAATGGGTGCGAACTAGACAACTTCTTTTCACGTGTTCAGATTGATCGATGTTTTCTTTCTTTGCTTACATGAAGCTGATGCCGCACCCTGACTTCCCTGCATTTTGGGGGCTTTGTTGTAACCCTGCCCCAAAAGATGACAAATGATAGGCAGTGGTTGGCAGTTTTGATAGTCTTGTCTTGATAATTTTTAGCAAAACGTTTCCATCTTAAGAAACATCTTGCTTTCTACATGATTGAGATATGCCAGAAATGGGACATAAGGGCAAATGAAGGAGGGCTTAAGGTATTGAATATTACTTCAAACACCAGCAGTGCTCCTGCAATAATTGTGCTTGGTGGGTGAAGGTTTTGCTGCTTTGTGAACAAATAGTATGGTTCCATTTGAAATTGGACCTGAAATTCCTAGAATTTTTTATTAGAGGTTATTTGTTTTTGCTAGCATCCCCAGAACAGTTGTTCCTCTTGAACATATTTCTGCCTCTGAAATTCAGGTGAATTAAGATCTGTTGCCTTTCTTCATTTTTTTTTCTTTGCTTTGCAAAAGCACACTGTTACGTAATGTGTTGAATTACTATATAGTCTGCCCTGTAAATTGAACATGTTCTGAAAATCTTAGCCACTTAGAACAAATTGACAAATACAATCAAGTTGTTATTTGTGTAGCCTTCAGATGTGTGAATTAAAACTGATTCTTTGGCTTGTGTAAATGTTTGGTGCAGAATTGAAAGGGACCCTATGAATTGTCGAGCCCAGCCCTTGTCAAGGATGCACAGTGGGGAACTGAACTCCCCAAACTTCCAACCCTTGACTCCGCAACCAGGTGCCTAAACTACTGAGCTATCCAGCAGTAGTTGGAGGATGATGTGGACAAGTAAAAATAATTTTGGATAGTGCAGGTTCAGAGCATCTGTTGTCCTCCTTCCCATCTGAGAGCTTTGAAGCTGGAGAAAGAAGGGAAATCATTTTCTATTCTTTGATGAGGGTTTCTGATCTTCCTTGCTACTCTTGGAACACTGCCCCAGCAACTCTAGGGCTGCATTATATTATAAAGCAGCCACTCTCCCCACCCCCTTCTTTAGATATTTCTAAATCCTATTGCTGGTGTTTATAACAGAAAGCATAAGGCTTCCTAGTACAATTACATGTAATTTGAAAAATGCTGTTCCAGAGTGTGTTCAAAGATACTAGTCAACTAATCATGTCAGTTATATATTTGAGTATTAAGTATTTCTCATTAGTTGGTTATGAAATTATTAATGGTTTTTATTAAAACACTTAAAGTATACTTTGTTGGAAACAGGAATTACATTTTTAAATTATCAGTCTTCAGTAAAATAACTGAAAGCTCCCATAATAGATAACTATTGTCTATATACTAAGAACCCACATGTGACCGAAAGGAAGTTCATCCAAGGTTCTGCTGCCTCAAATTTAATAGGACTGTGTTTGTCCAATGTGTTTTTCCCTCTTGCATTTGAATTACTCCAGTTATTCCATGGAATATGAGTATAGGCAGCCACTGTCCTAAATTAGCCTTTTTTGTTGTTTTTGTAGTCTCTTGTAATGGGGGCATTATTTGCTTATTACCTTGAGGAAATGAAAAAAAGTTAAGAATAAAAATGAGGAAACTGTGTGTAGAAGAAGGTACATTAGTACATGGAAACTTTACTGCTGTTGGTATACATGTCTATGGATGCAGCTACAGCAAGAGAAATGTGAATTCACTCCCATTCACCCTTTGTGAAATTGCACTGGGGACTTTGAGGTTCTGTAGGTCAGTTCAAAAGTGGCTACATGGGTGGAAAAGACAGAAGTCTTGTTTATAAGCAGTAAACAAGGAGAGAGTATTGATTTTCTGGTTTCCTTTTCTCATTCTCATTTTTTTCACTTTCTGGCTGCTCTACTACTGCATTAGCGCTGACACTCAGCTATTTAAAAAAAGGAAAGTGTATTATTTGAAAGATAGAGCCCTCCTATTCTGGAGCTTTGCCGCCTTTCAC